CCTGGTCCAAAACAACGTCGTTTTGGCCAAGATGTTTTTTTTTTTTTAAGGCGCGCTGGGTGCTAGGCGCTAAACAATATAATGCATACATAAAAATGTTACCTTCACTGAGCTTGATTGCATTGGGCAATTATGAAGTTGATCTCAGCCACAGTAGTCAACTTTGCACTAACTTGAACTCGCCTAAATTCTTTGAGCTTGATCATACATGTGAGATTATATGTTTGTCAAGGAAAGCTAAAAATGAAGCACCGCTACCTTATAATATGCGAGAAATAATTTTGTCTGATGCTAAGGAATGGATTAAAGCTACTGCTGCCATCCAGAATAATATTGATAGGGTGCATGTCATGCTGGCTTGGATTCCCCCTGTTTTGGGGGTGGTTAAACTAAATGTGGACGGATCCCGCAAAGAAAGTACTGGAGCTATTGGTGCTGGAGGAGTTCTCAGAGACCACCTAGGACAATGGCTTGGTGGGTTTGCTGTCAATTTGGGGAAAGGAAAAATTCTTGAAGCTGAGTTATGGGGCTTGTTTTTTGGCCTAAAGCTTGCTGTGGAAAAACATGTTGATGATGTTGTTATTGAAATGGACTCGGCTATTGCTGTGAAGCTCTTACAGAATGCTGAGGTGGATAATTTTCATCCTACTGCTGGCCTGGTTAGTAATTGCAAGAGGATCATGAACCAGTTTAGAAGGGTTGACATTCAACACATTTATAGAGAGAGGAATTCTGTTGCAGATGGTTTAGCTACTTGGAGTCACAACCTTGACATGGGGTATTGGTACCTTGATGATAGCCCTGTTTGGATTGGCAACCTGTTGACTGATGATTCGCTAGGGGTTGCTAAGACCCGTTTGATAAATGTTGTGTAATCTGTGTGTTTTTTCCTTTGGGGTTCTTTAACCCCCTTTTCTCATCCAAAAAATAAAAAAGGAAAGCTAAAAACATTAGCATAAAAAAACCAAACAACGTCCTAGGCCTCGCCAGGTTAGCAAGCCCAAACATGGGCAAAGAAACCATGTGGGCCTGAGATGAGTCCCACTTGGGCTCCACAGAGTAAGTCTAAATGGGACTAATCATTGGGCAGCACGCCTCTAAAATAGGTCAACACTGATCCCCAAGATCTCCCTAGTCAACAACAACAATCTAGGAGATTATGACCACACATTTTGAGCAAATATCTCACACGTCCCAAGTCAAATGGTTAATTGACTGGACGTGTAATATAGCAGGCAATGACGCTCCAATGAATGTTATACGCAGCCTTCCACAACAACAAATCAGCCACCTATGAGTCATAAATTTCAATCATAACCACAACAAGGTAATGTTCCAACGCAACCTAAGAAATCGTAATTCTTATTGTCTGGAACTAACTTAAGCATCAGAGACTCTTTGCCAACACCACACCAGCGTGTTCAAAGGGCTCACAATCTTTTATTTTCTCTTAACTTTCACAAGTCAATTTTGTCTTCTTCAATAGCAGACGAAATCAGTCCCACAAGATGTTCTAATTTTTGCAAGTGACCCAATTGCCTTTGTAAGAGCATCTTTAAGAGAGATGTCAAATAAAAAATATTAAATTTAAATTTGCTAAGTTGCAATTTGATATTGTGTAAATTTTTTACATTCACCCAAAATATCAATATTATTATTATATTTTTTTAATTAAAAAAAAATAAGGATCGTAAAGCTTTAAAATAGAGGAACGTATAGGTTCCAATATTTAAAAATATTTCAATACCATTTGACATCAAATTTTACGGGATGCAATTTTGGCATCAAGCTTTATTCCTTCAAATTCATGTAGAATTTGATTATTCGGTTGGAACGATTTTCTTTTTCAATTTTTACTATTTTATGTTCACGTCACAATCTGACATATCAATTTGAGATGTGAAATGGTCAAAGACACGCTTATTTAGCTGGCGTGGGTTCAAAGCTGGCAGCAAATTCTTCCATTGGTGACAAAAGTTTGTAAATTGGTCTACGTCAAAATTGGAGACATTTAGCTTTAGTCATGTTTCCAGAGAAGGTAAGAATTTTCACTCTCTTATTCTTTTCCTTGACTAAGGTTTGTTACTCTTGGGATCCAAAAATATGAAAGAAAGTTCTCTTGAGGCCTAGATTTGTTTCTGTGTAATCTCTTTGGTTTGGGCTTGGCCCCTTTGCTACCAAAAAAAAAACTGAAAGAAAGGCTACGTTTTTCATTTGAATAAATTAGTATTCGGTCAACGAGCAAACTGGGTCCAAATTAAACCTGTAAACAAGTTTCTTCGAAAGTCGCATCAGAAACACCAAGACGTGGGACCAAAGAAAGCATCCACCAAATGAGCACCCTCAGGGTGGCTCTTCTTCTATGAAAAGTTTTAGGGTCAATTTTCAAGTGATCCACTTCTTCAAGAAACACGAAGATATCCATTTTGACTAGCCTAACCATTTGACTCATAAGACAGCCTATTATGGCCTCACGATCAACAAGTTGACCAGTTCTTCCCATTTATAAAACCCAGATGTGCGGCCATGATTTGACTTTGATCCAAATTCCAAACTAGTACATGGTCATTTGTGTTGTGTGTCTCCCAATCCAAATATTATCTAGACAAGTACAAGAAAGCTACGCGTACCTTAGTTGGCATGACAAAGTCATGGCATAGAAATCATCAAGTCAATATCTCAAGACCTATATATATGTGCACAACATGGCCATTTCTAAAACCAAAAACACAAACGCTTCAAACACATTGAGATCAATTTGGAATTCTAAAAGCTCAGCAAATCTTTGTACAAGCAGCTCAATCTCATCCTTCTTTTCTTCTTCAATTCAGAATATCGGAAAATCGAGTATTATATCCATGGAGAAGCCAGAAGGATATCCACAAGTAGATGATGTTTCTACATGTATAGAGGCACCAAGCACAAGCACATCGTTTTTGGGCACCAAGAACGATATGTCACTTCTCGAAAGCGGTCTACTTAGAAGAAATTTTAGTGACATAGGTGAGAATTACTACAGGTTCCAATCAAAAGCTGGTAAGTCAGTTGATCCAAGGTTGCTAGCGTTGGTAGAATTCTTTAGGGAGCTCTATTTTCGAAGGTTGGAACTATTCAAGAAAATCTTTCCAGGTGGTCATGATGATAAGTTTCTTGAGGTGCCAAAGAAATTGGGTTTGATATTTGCCAAAGTGAAACCAGATCAAACCAAAGCCGTTCGGACTATGCAACGGAGTTTAAGCATTGGTTCACCGCGAGATTTCAAAGGATCCGAATCGGAAATGAGGCTGGAACGATTCAAGGTAAGAACTATTGATGTAGATGATGGTGGTGGTGTACAAGGTGGCCAGGGTGGCCAGGGTAATGAAATTAAGTCCAACGGTTCTAAGTAGGAGTCATTCTCGGTATACTGCAGCCCTTCTGCACGAGTCATTCACCTGTGACTCTGTGAGAGGGCTGCCGTGTGCCAAAGCTCTACTCAAGAATTTCCCATCGGGGGAAACAGAAAGGAAGAGGGTCAAGATGGTGAATGGTTTCTGAGCAAGTTGTGAGAATATTTTGACTTTTTGATAGGATATTCTTTGTGGATATAAACAAATAATGGTGCCTGACTCTGCAGAACTGCACCAAATTGAAACAAGTATCTGACGAAAAAAAAAAAAGACATTGAAGCAAGTTTCTTTGCATAGATTTAGCTTCAACAATTGGTTTCAGCTTTTTATTGTAAAATGTGTTCAATAATTGAGTTTCACTCTGTACCTTTCAATAATGCAAGGCAATAATTTGGAGCCAATCTCAGCTTTTAACCCTATTCAGCATCATTCTCTTTTGGATCTAATTTTAACCCTATCATTCCCCCAACAAATTCAAAAATAAAAATAGAGCGTGCAAATTAACATGAATTAGTTAACAGCAAGAAATTGAATTAGACTGCACAAAAGAAATCAACAAAATTTCTTAGTTAACCCAAAAAATAATAGGAAAAAGAATTATGAAGTAATAATTTTCTATATATCCATTCTTAGCGCTAGTGAGATAGATAAACCCTATACCATTTAATTTATATAAACAAACCCAAAAAAAATCCCAAAAAATACAGATGGACCTATTGAATTTAATTTTGATAATTAAATTACTTTGATGCCTTGTTGAGTGTTTCGGGTTTCTAGGAGGTTTTGGGGTTGATCTTGTTTTAAGAAATTGATAGAAGTTTTGTAATTTATAAGAAGTTCGAAACCTTTTTTTTGGTGAAAACCAAGGTATCCCCGCGCGATTGCGGGGACTAACCCTCGAGGTACTGTCGGGCGCAAAGCGGGGACCTCTCCCAACAAAGTCTGCTCTATTCGCAAGCGCCTGGGATCGAACCCAAGACCTCTTGTTTAAAGGATCCAAGCCCCTTCCACTTGGACCAACTCCTGTTGGTGTTCGAAACCTTTTTATTATGTTATAAACAGGCTTTGGATGTGTTTCTAAAATCCATATCATGTAAAGTTTTTTATAATTTGGACCCATATATTAGACATGATAGTGAAACTCCTTTTTTAAACTACCTTTAAATTAACCAAATGCAAATGGAAATGACAGTTCCTAAACTTATATCTTGATCGGAAATTAATTGCATCCTCAAATTCTCTCTTGAGGGAAGGGACGTACCTAACAGCCGAATTTGTGTAAAACGGTTGAATAGAAAAAGAGAAAAATTAAGGATGGAGAGAAGGGACACTGTCGGCAGCTTCAATATCCAAGAGCATTTGTTGGAGTAGGTAAAAAGAAAGAAAAGTTAAAGCATCAATTAAAAGAATAGGAATATGGTTGCGTTGTGTTGGAAAGTATTTTAACTATTGCTTTTGGAGCATTTTTCCAATCAAATAAAAGTTGAATGTTGAATTGAAATGTCAAATTTCGGTTCAAAATCTTCTCTCAAAAGTTCATTCAATCTTTACCTATGCCTCTAGACTCTTCTTCTTATCCAAAATTATCTCCCTTTTGATTTAAATCCCTAGAGTTTAAAGGGGAGTGCTTGTCGCCAATCCGAACATATCCCTTCTGTCGATATACATGCGACGGTGAGGTGACACCAACGAGCATACATGGGAGACAGAATTAAAGGAACCACAACCTCCAGCAATCTTTATCTAATTCTAGTTTTACAACTGATCTAACAAAACTGCCCAAGATCAGCCACCCTAAAATGGAAAGAAGAAAGAAATCACTTTTGCAATATATACAGCAAACACAGGAACAAACACCCAACTCCCTAAAATGGTATTTACTTCCACACTTTTTGGCCATATACCCGTTCTCATTCGCAGCCCGATCAGATCTTCGCGTATGTAGCTTGAATTCCACGGTACCGCTGTATTTAGGGATTTGATGGGCTTTCTACATGCTTGTTTGCCAAGTCCTTAGAATCCTGAGTATTCTCAGTTAAGGGGGACGCATTCTCCCTGGTATCTGCAGCATCACCCTCCGATGGTAAATTATCTTCTTGAATTGGGTCCATGCCACGGTTGTCATGTGTTCTTGATCCACGATTATTCAACATATAGCGATAAGAATGGGTATTGAAGGACTCTGTACCATAATGAGATCGAATAGCGGAACTGAACAAGGGTTGCATGCGCCGTTTTCTCTCAGGAAACTCGCGCAATGACATTCTACAAACAGGACATGTGGAATGCTGCTGAAGCCATATGTCTATACAGGTCACATGGAAGGAGTGCCCACAAGAGGGGAGAATCCGCAATACATCATCACCATGGTATTCCACGAGGCAAACAGTGCATCTGCCACATAACAAATCACAATTTTATTAGCTCAAAATACAAGGCTTAAGAGAAACATGTTCAATCATTTTGACGGAAATTGAAATTGTTGAGAACTGAGAGAGAATTATAGGCGAAAGTCACCAAAATATTAACTCCCTCCTATGATTCTTATTTACTTCTTTCTTTTTCCCCCAAAAGAGAGACTAAAGAGTAAGAGGGAAGGAAATTGCTGAAATATCTATTGAGGTACCAGAATAAAGGTTCTGTCTTTTCTTCATTTGAATGTAACTGAAAGTGCAAACTTGACTCATTAAGGACAAAAAACAGCATGCTTGATTTGATAAAGTGAAATAATTCTTACAGATCACAGGAAGATTGAAATGAATGGGATTAAGGAACCAAAATCTCTATAACATTGCTGGATACAAAAATAAGCATTCTGACCAACACAATAGAAAATCAAGAAAATAGGATAGTGAACTGATTCAGGGCATAATGCAAAAATGCCAATATTCATGTACTGTGTTGGACTCGAAGCAATATTATTTGGTCGGTTCACATTGATAGGCAAGAACAAAGATAACTAGAAGTGGAGAATAACACTGCATGATCGTAACAGGTGTTTAAACCACAGGCATACTTCCCATGTTCAGATAAGTATAAACGTATAGCTAATGTGTTTCTTCTTTTTTCAGTTTAAACCCCTCATCTGGGAAGTTAACTGAATCAGTCTTTAAGTAACCCTATATTGTCAACCTCATCACATCCTCGCCTATGTCCCACACAAAGAGAGTCAAACTGATCCTACATTGTTCCAGATGAACTTTAAAAATCAATTACTCATTAATTTCCAATTCCAGATACTTATTAAAACCGATAACAGGGGCCCACCACAATTCCTAAATATGCCATTACACAAAGGCAAATCAAGGATTGCATCAGAAGGGAAAACTGCAGTATTTAAGAAATTAACAAACAGTACATTTTAATTTCTGAATCCACTGTGGCAAAGAATAAGTATGATGATCAACAACTTCTTAACATACTTTCTGGAACACTACATAACTGCCCGCTAGCTTTCAAAAATATAATAGAAAGATCTAAGATTATACATTGAATACAACCCAGGATGGATTAGAGGCTAGACAAGATTGATGTGTGTGTGTGTGTGTGTACTATCCAATTTTCATGGCATAGTAACCTCCCTCAAAGTATAAAGAAATCTTTATTAAGAAAACAAGTAATCATCACAAAAATAGCATGTTTCAGATATTAAAGTTTTAAACCCACTTTTCACTTTCACATTCCAAAACAAATCTGAATTTTTCCATGCGGAAAGAAGGGTATGAAGCTTAAATTCTTAGCTTTAAGCATCCTAGCTGGCAAATGAATTAATATCATCAATCAGCTTGAATCCAATATTTTCATGTGCAGACACTTCTCTGGTACCTTTGGAATTAGAACTAGAAGCAATCAAGACCCTGATACTTCTTTTTCATTGGGCAAAAGACCAATGACCAGAGAAACTGAAAGGGCTTCTATTAAAAATTTGCAGACAAAAGTATAGGAAGAAAAGATTAAGATTATGAGGGTATTAATGACTTGTTTTAGATGAAATCAATGAATCACTATCATAAGACTTAATTCAGGTTTCCTACATGACACCATCCACCATTCCGTTCCAAGGATTGCTAACTTTGTGGAGGATATTAGAAGTTTCATTTCCTTTGAACTTGGTCAAAACAAAGTAAAACTACGAGGTGTAAGGAAGTTTATGGAAGATTAACATGGTGTATCATGTAACTAGACTGGTGTGCTTCCCAAATACACACACTATCATTGTTCAGGCATACTTGTGGTGGCACCTCAAATGGAAAGAGAAGACTAGTATTGTAAATTAAATAAATGAAATCAATACTATCTCTAAAGTACTTGGCTTTGCAACTCTCAACAGCTTAAAACCTGGAGTTGGTAGGTTTTTCAGTATCAAATAACGAGAAAATTTAGAATCAATGCTATGATTAACAGAACAGACAAATCCCTGTCAGGACTATCAGGAATAACAGTAAAAGACAAACATCCTAAAACAGTCTCCATTAAATTTATTGCTAAAGTTTCAAGGGAAAGCTAAGGAGCAATGCAATGAGTTGTGCTTTAACTTAAAACTACAACCGTTTAAATGCTTACGTTCTTTTTGATTCCTCTGTCTCAATTCTATGAGATATATCCCTTCAACATCCCCTTGATAAGCACTCCCTTTTATATACTTGGAAACCACAAAAGTGAACACTGAATATAAACCTGGAACAAGTCTTCCAGGAATAAGAATGTTCTCTACCTTTAAACCTATACTTTTCAAACCTCTATCATAGGAATTTCCATTTTGAATGTGAACCTATCAATTATTTCATTTATGGCCTACACATACCACCCACTGGAGACTCCAACCCTTCGCCTGGTCGCCCTATATTTAGAAAACTACGGTTGAGAATCTAAATCCAATTAACTTTAAAGTACTTCAACTCCATTTTCAATAACTACTCTATCCCAAAAATTGTGAAGAAGAATAATACACCCTACAAGAGTGAATTATTTCCAAATTTGATTTACAGCAAGCCTGTCAGCTGGCCATTGTAAACAAAGAAAACTCATCATATACCTTGCAGTCATTTCAAATTACAAAAACTGAAAACATTAAGTGAGCAATAGAACAATAAAAGAAATAACATACTGAGCATCTTCTACAGCTGAAAAAAATGCATCACTGAACTTCTTTGTAGGGAAGTTGGCTACTACTACAGGTTCAACGCCATGTAACCCCCGTTCCAGCTGTACCATGATACAAGTCAACCATTTAAATTCATGGTGAATTATAAGTATGAAGCTATGTGTGTTACTATAAAAAGAAACAAAAGTGGCCAAATGCTCAATTGCAAAATAAAAGCGTGTTCGCATATTTTATGTGGATTGACCAGAAGTAGTCAAGAGCTAACAAAAACCAAAAAAATAAAAATAAAAAAAAGTCTAAAATGGCACGAGACTTGCTACCAGTTGAAAAGGAAAATACCAAATTCAGCAACACACACACACAAAAACAAAACAAAAATTGCATAAATCCAAAAGCCAATAACCTTGTTTAATGTAGAAAATGATAAAATTACATAATCTAAAAAAACATTAAATAATAATTTAACAAGAAAATAATTTATTGAAAGAGTAGAGATCTAACTGACAGTGCAACCAACAACAGTCATGCCAAGCAAATTTCCATTTCCAATGGAAAATGGCAAATACCCAGATGCTATTTTATCTTAATAATGAGAAATACAAGGCAACTACTGAATGAAAATTGCATGATTGAAATTAGAACTTTAAAATAAAAATAAAAATAAATAAAAATAAAAACTTACAATACTGAGATCGGATCTGGAAGCTATGGGGAAGGAGCGTCTTGAAACGTTGAGGTGAATCCGAGCACAGACAAGCCTGGTGCACACGAACACGATGAACATGGTGCTCACCGCGAACCCAATCACCGTCATCACCAGATTTATCCCTGACGATATCATAACTCTATTTGGGTTTTTTCCACTCAACGCAAAATAAAAATCAACACCACTCAAATCTCTTTCATTGGGTTTGTTCAGCAACCCCCAGAACTCAAACCCAGCTCAAAAATACAAAAATGAAAATCAACACCCCTCAGTCTCTCTCATATTCACTACACTGAACACAGTAGGATTGTCCACTGGCCTAGTGAAAAATGTTATTGAACTTTGTTGGTATTATTTGAGGAAGACTAATTTGGCTGTGTGAGTGAAGAGAGGGGTGAAGAGGGGAGCGTTTTATTGTTGGAGTGAAGAAGAAAGGACCAGAGAAGAAGGAAGCCATGGAGGGATGGAGCAAAACCAGGGACTGAGGAAGCCCATGTAACTAGAGGCTCAGAGAGGAGAGAGATGGACAAGGAGGATTTGCTCAGATCCAAATTAAGTCCAGGTTTTGGGATTTGGGTTTAAGATTAGAGACTGAGTTAAGTCACTAATCAGTAATCACAATACGAATGGAATCAAATTTTACACAAATATTCATTGGGTGCTTGGGAATTTTTTATATCTTATCACATAGGTGGATGTATTTCATTAACATAAATTTTTTTATACAAATATTATGGAGTAGGGGAGAACCGAACCTTGGACCTCGAATTAGTAGCTCAAGTGATTTAGTGTATTTACCGCAGCACTAGAGATTTAAATTTTGATTCACCACTCCCTTAATATCACTTGTATAAATAACATTGGTGCTAATTTTTTCACTTGCAATTGGCAAAATAGCGAGCGTGCTATTCTGCAAGGGCGAGTCCGACGAACATAGTCAAATCGTCACAGCCTCCACTCTTTCCTTTGTCAAATTTAGAGAGACGGACCAGCGGTCCACTACTAAAAACACCGATATTGTCCCCAACTTAACCACCTACAAAGTTCAGTAAGTGTGGAGTTTTTATCATAAAAGGTCTCGGTGTTATTAGTAGTAAAATCATTCATTATATTTTGTATTTTATTTAGTCAAGTTTCCGATATGGGACTTATATTCTTCAACATCCTTCTCTCTCTCTCTCTCTCTCTCTCTCTCTCTCTCTCTCTCTCTCTCTCTCCTAAAATAGAGAGACCTCTATGAGCTCCTACATCTGAGGAGAGAGAAAGGAATCATAATGGCTCCCTATAATTTAATGCTGCTTTGTTTTATGCATATTTTAGAAAGGAACCAATTATATTGAATCAAAAAATAATTATAGTATTTATGACCTCTAGGGCCACATGTGTTGATGTTTTTCTCTTCATTGGTTTTCTTTTCAGCTTCTTATGTTTGTGTGACAATTTAGGTTCTATTTAGCTATATAGTAGAGTTTAATAGATCATCACAATCATCTATTACTAATTAGACTCTTTCTAATTAATTAGAACATTTCTATTGATTGGGTTCTAGTTATCTCATCTCGATACTAAAGATGAGATTTTTTTTCCACATATTAGATATGTGGAGGATTCTAATAAGCTCATAATTCTATATGTTTTTAGCATCTCTTTACTTAATTTTTGTGGTTAGTTCTCTCTTATAATAAGCTTATCTAGTTGTTTTAGTGCTTTGTAGGTTAAATAAGCAAGATGGTGTTTTGAGCAGAAATGGAGGTTTTCCTAATCAAACTAGGAAAGATCAAGTTTTCCTACTCGACCAAAGAGATGTCAAGGCCTTCCTAATAATCACATTAGGAGATTAGGAGACGAATATTCCCAGAGATTCTAGAAGAAAACAGAAGATTTGAGGTTTCTTATTCCAACTAGGAAAAGAGAGGTTCCCACATAATTAGGATTCCTACTTCGACTAGGATTGCTATGTCATAACGTCAGTCACCATGCTACCTCATCAAGCAAGTTGTTTGGTTGAAATCATTGGAATTGAATGGTCGCCGCGTATGGGTTGTTACCCATCAGTGGAATATTGACAGCTAGGGATGGGTTGTCTCTAGCTAGTGGATCAGGTTGAGGCGGATTCACCCCAAAGATGTTTGGTTGGGCCTCCACCTAATTCCTATTTTGGCCATTTTGTTGGCCTAGCAATCTATCAAACTTCGCATTTATTTGAGCATTTTGAGTGCCCATGGTTTGAGTCATTGTTTGAGCCACCTCTTGCATTCACTGATGGTTGAGGTTGTTTGATGTCTCCATTGCTCGGATGAGTTCTTGGATCTCTAACGAAGTGGTCGGATTTGGCCTCAAAACTAATCCTTCAACGACTTCCGTAATATCTTCGACCAACACGTGGTTGGGGTCAATGGTTGGGGGTCGGCCAATGTAATTTTGGCCTGGTTGAGTGTTCGAAATATTTTTTAGATTAGTGTTCATGGGAAGTGAACCAACTATGCTTGTCTCCGATTCAGAACAGTCTAGACTCTTCAAACTCTTGATCTTTTTTAGGATTCCTCATAGTGTTCATGACCAACCAAAACCTAGTGAGTCTCACTGAGCTTGTCAAATTATGTTTTCCTCTCTTCGATTGAGGTGGCCGACGAAAAGAAATTTTTGTCCTTCTTCTCTTGAGTTGCGTAGGCGTGCCACCACCAAGCCACTAAATGGCATGGATGGATATGTTGCGCTTCTAAATTCTGATCAAGTGACTGATCAGCCAAGCAAGGATCCTCCTCTTGGTCTAGGTTCTTTCACTTCGTCAAGATCGAGGATGATTAAGATTTATGTGGATGTTTTTGTGATTTTTTAGGTTTTTTAGTAAAAACAATGCAAATAAATTAAAGTCATGATTAAACTAAAAGATGATAATTAAAGTGAGAAAAAATATATATCAAAGCGATAAATAAACATAAAATAAAGCAAGAACGAAATAAGAACTATAAGAACGATAAACTAAATTAAACTTGAAATTAAACTTAATGAGGGGCATTTCTGTCCAACTAACAGCCCTCCACAACCACCCCCACAAAAACCTAGCAGCCCCTACCCAACCACCTTCTCTCATCCCTCCTCCTCTTCCTCCTAACTCAACCCACTCCCTATCCTATATCCACTACCCCACAATCACGTTATCCCCTCCCTCCACAACCACCTTTTCCCCTCACTATCTCTCTCTCTCTCTCATCAAACTCCAAAACTAATTATATGCATTGCCTAAAACCTCTCATCATGAACCCAAGATAAAGTGGGTCTTGAGACTTGAAAGCATAAGAAAAGCTACATTAGGGGTTGCTTGGGTGGCTAGGGAGTAGTTGTGGAGGGGATGCAAGATTGGACCGAAATGCCCCTCCATATTACAGTAATTTGACAAAAAATTGGGGATTGTCCTTGAATTGCTGAGAATTGAAACTATATGAACAAAATTGATCAAATTGAAACGATATGGACCAAAGTGGTAAAATGAACAAACTACAGGAATCAAAAATGACTTTTTGCCTTGATTAAAAATAGCAGTTTACAGTACAAAGTGCTTAACACATTGCAAGAGCCTTGAGAGCAACCAATGGTACTGCTTCTTCTTTTGCATCTCCATATTCCCACATTTGGGATATTTTTTGGAGGGCCCACACCTCTGCCAAGGTGAAAGTGATATGGCCGTATGCATGTTTTTACTTGTATATACATGTATATTGGCAAATTTGTTGACAACCGTACTTTAACAAAATGCGGACGTCCCCATTAGAGCAAAACAATATATATATAATAAAAAAATAGTATCGGCCAATTAATGGCCTTTGGATCCAGGCCGCATGGCCTCTTCTTATTGTCTTTTTATTTTGCAATATATATAATGAAATTCCAATGCATCAACATGAGACCTCTTTGGCGGATTCAAGGGACCTCATCTTGGCTCACTTTGGCGGAACTCACCTAGGCGGAATTTACCTTGGCAGTACTCACCTCCTCGAATTTAGAAGATGTAGAGATTCTTCCTTGGTGGATTGGAGGTCTCTGAATTGGCGGATATGGGGAAATTTGACAATTCCAAACACACGTCCAAGTCACTTACAACATCATCGAGGTCGACCATCTAAGTCCTCTTCTCTGCATTTTCAATGTTTTCCTAAAACTGTTAGAAATGTCGAAAAGTCAATGACTTATTCAAGAAGTAAGATAATGGGAAAGTTTTGTGCAACTATGAGAAAGAAATTGGTTGTGCAAATCAGTCAACTTCATGGATGACCCTGTATTCCGTCATAATGAACCATCTTATGAGCCATACACTATTGGAAAGATTTGGAAGTCAGCTTTCTAAAGAGTTTTACAGTTCATGATTTGGATTTTTTTAGAAGGAGTTGTCATTGTTGTGGTGCAAGATGTTGAGAAGAGGAAACTTGTTGTCTTCTAAGAAAAGGGAAACATAAATAAATTTTGAAATAGGGAACCTATTCTAACGTGAATAAAGCTTTCTCCCTTATAAATATCACCTTTTGCTGCACCATTTAACATAAAATTCTCATTACACCACAAAACATAATAACGTTGAAGCCAATATTACAACCATTAAAAAGAAATCATGACCATGAAATTAAGATCATCAAATCCTTTTAGCTACTGCTTATACATAGGCAGCAACAGTCGGCATTTTTTTTTTTTTTAAAAAGAGAACTAAAAACAAGAAGGATTCTTGTAAATCAAGTGCCTAAGAGCATTACAACTTTTTGTCCCCAAAAAAAAAAAAGCATTATAACTTGAATAGTATTCTCTAATTCTATAAAATTCATTTTAGAAAAACTAATCAATTATAATTGGCTACATTTGCCTCTATATCTGGGATAATAACGTATATGTCCCACAACTTTGCAAATTATGTCGAATCAATAAGGACCATTCTCATTCCAAGAAAAAGGCTAAGTTTGTACGCATTTTAAGTCCCTGTTTAAACCAAAATTTGCAATTTGCCTTGAAATAAAATGGGGGAATTCTTAGAGTTATTATCTTGATTTTTGTTAAGAAAATTGATTGGAATAAATGAAAATATTTTTTTAAATATCAATATGGCAAACACATGGCCAAATTTGCTAGTTCATTGCTCAAATGAAATTTGTGTATTCATGAAAGTTGTTCACCGGGATGTCTACTATAACATATACAAATTTGGGAGAGTTTGCATTAATGTGGCCTTCTCATACTGTCAAACATTGAATTCTATACGGAAAGAATATCAAATTGGCTGGTTACCAAGCTTTATTGGCGTGGGTTGACAAAGAAAAATATTGGAATCAAGAGAGAAGCTATGAGAGTACTTTTGGTGTTCAGAAAACAAGTAAATAGTGTTTGAGGAATGGAAATCAAAAGTGACAAGAATAAAGAAGGAAGAGAAACAATGACAGATATTTTGAATTATTGTGTATTCATGAAAGTTGTTCACCGGGATGTCTACTATAACATATACAAATTTGGGAGAGTTTGCATTAATGTGGCCTTCTCATACTGTCAAACATTGAATTCTATACGGAAAGAATATCAAATTGGCTGGTTACCAAGCTTTATTGGCGTGGGTTGACAAAGAAAAATATTGGAATCAAGAGAGAAGCTATGAGAGTACTTTTGGTGTTCAGAAAACTAGTAAATAGTGTTTGAGGAATAGAAATCAAAAGTGA